CGGGATTCTGAAAATTAACTTCTTGCCCGCGGGGTCGGAAGTGAACGGGTAGTCGGTTTTCTCGATTTGAAACCTGGCAAGCCAAGAGGCGACGGCCTTTTCAACCGATTCGAGAGTGACGACAGATTTGCACCGGGCAATGAAAATACATGGGTCGATGTGCTGGTAGGAGGACGGGTCCACGACTGCGTCCTGCGGCTCCTCGGTTTCGATACACTGACGGAGGGAGTCCAACTCAGCGACCTTCACCTCAAATGCACGAACACATTCGTCTGTTGCCCCCTGGTGGACCTGCACCGGCCCGAAGCGCACATCAATGTGTTTGGTGGCGCCGTCGTGGCTTGAACCGACGATGGAGCCGACGGCGGTGACGGTGGTCTGGATTGCCCCAACCTTCCGCATCAACGCAGAACGAGTAAACCAACAAACTCACGGACAGCGCCTACAGCCGCCACGGGGTCTTCGATTCTCGCTCTCGCTTGTTTGTCCGCGTCCCGCTATTATGAGTCAGGGAACGTCGCGGCGGCGTCATGCGCGGCAACGAAGGCGGCCACCTCGGTGGACACGGAAGCGGCTGGAGCGCAAGGGGAAGACATGTCAGCTGACGGCGACACAACGGGACCCACTGCGCCTGAAGCTCCGGTAGGGATCGACAGCGGAAGGCTGCAGGGACTCGAGCCAGCCCCTCGCCTGCGTCCAACCTGAAGCCTTCAGACTTCAACGGTTTCAGCTTGAACCAAAATGGCTACGGACCTCCTTTCCCCTGATGTCCCCCTCCTCCTCGTCCTGCTCCACCTTGTCCCCTCTCCGCCCCTTCCCGCTGACCGGGCGGTTGTGACTGCCTATGATACAACTCGCGTTCTTCAGCCCAGGCCTCCTGGCCACCGCGGGAGCCGCCGCCGCCGCGGGCGCCATCCCGCCGCCCGCGGCGGCGCCCAGGCGCGCCGCGTGGGCCGCAAGGGGCCAGGCGCGGCTGGCGGCCATTGTCGCGGCCCCTCGGGAGCCACGGGCGGGCGGGAGCCCGAGGATCGAGTGGCGCGGTTCGAGAACGCTCTTGACATTGCTGTTGGCCTCCGGGGAGCTTCTCGTCGCCGAAGCTGGATTCCTCCTGCAATTCTCACAGGACTCGCCCTAGAACAAGTCCAGGCAAGGCTCTTTGACCCCCAGGCGCGGACTCCCGCCCGTCGTCGCGAAATGAAATGGTCCCAGCGAAGCACCCCAGTACCAGGAAGCTGAAATGCTCCTTAGAGGCTCTTGAAGAGGCTCTTGAGAAACACATCACAGACTTATGAGAAGGTCCGAAGAGAGTCCCGAGGGAGTCCTGAGAGGGTCATGATAAGCTCAGGAGGACGTACGAGAAATCGGAAGCCGCATATCGCCTCTCCTCGGGGTCGGCAGAATGGCGCAATCCTCTAAAGGAAAGACACCGCGCAGGGAGAGAGGGCAGAGGAATTCAGATTGAGTAAATGTGGATGGAGGAATGGTGGGAGCGAGGAGGAAGGGAGGAGGGCGGGAGCGACGAGATTAATGAAGGGGAGCAATACGAATGAAGGGGGGGCTCCTCCGTCCTGCTCTTAATCTCTCTCTCTTCCTCCCTCCTGCAAAGAAACAATGCAAATCATAGGATACACCGTGTTTGAAATTTCAGGGTGGCCTGGAGGACAACACCGAAGACGCATGACTGCGAAAGCCCCTGCATGCGGAAATATCACAGGACTGAAGGAAGATGAGAAAACAACTTATCCTTGAACTTGTGTGGAGCCCGACTCGCGTCTCGCCTTTGGGGGACGCGCTGTACGTTCGAGTCCTAGTTGTTGAAGCCTAGGAGGGCCCCCGTTCGAGCAGGGGTCCCGTCCAGCACCTTACACAGATAGCACTGGTAGAATTTGAACCTTAGGATTCGCCGAGGACGATGATGTCCAGGGCCAATTGTCAACTCACGAAGGCAAGGCAAGGGAAGGTTCTGGCAGGTCCAGGACCGTCGCAAACAGCGCAGGGTGGGGCACGAGATGCCGCGGCACAAAGACAGGTGTGCAGGCGGAGACACACGAGAGGCAGGATGCTTGCAGGCGAGCAAGCAGACGGCCTGGCGGGTGAGCAAGCAAGTACAGGCAGACGGGGAGTCAAAACGGCAGGCATATGGGCAAGTGTATGTTCACCCAAAGAGGAGCAACATCACGCGCGCGATGGCAATCAGCGAACGCATTTGACACGTGCAGCATCAGAACGGAAGTGATGCGCTCTGCGCGCGTAGAAGCGAACACGCGCAACGCAGCGTGCGCGCATACACAAAGATTGCGGGCGAGAGCGCGTGTTCGGACCGCTGGACCCACAAAAAACCTGCACAGTTTCCCCCAGGGCCGTAGGCGACCCGTGGAGGAGGAGGAGGGAGGGGGAGGAGGAGGAGGAGGAGGAGGAGGAGGAGGAGGAGGAGGAGGAGAGGGGAGGAGGGAGGGGAGGGGGGGAGGAGGAGGAGGAGGAGGAGGAGGAGGAGGAGGAGGAGGAGGAGGAGGAGGAGGAGGAGGGAGGAGGAGGACAGGACAGGACATCCGCATGAAAGGGTCAACGTCGAAACGCCCGCTAAGGAGCCGTGGGGTACGACTTGCAAAATCCCCTGCGAGTGGGAGGAGGAGAAGGAGGAGGAGGAGGAGGACGGGTCAACCCATCGGAGAAACCCTTCAGAAGAATCCCGAGATCCGACGTAGCGAAAACCTCGAACATCGTGAGACAACATCACTGGACCCCTCGACCCAACCTTCCCGTGGCGCCCTGGGGCCCTCACAGTCTGTGAGGGCCCCTGGGGCACGAACGCTGGCGAGAGCGCGCAGCGTAGACCAACTGCAACGCCCGGATCTCAGAGAAGAGCAGGCAGCAGGGAACGCACCCCTTTCTCTACACGCAGCCCCCACACGGCGAAGGCGAGCACCAAGCGTCACGAGGAGAAACGACCGAGGACGGGCTGGCGGGCCAGGCCACCGGCCGGCGCGCGCTCGCGCGTCCACCTGCACGGGAGAGCGCGTGCGGGTGAAGGTCGGTCTCAGGGGGCTCCAACCGTTTGGTGGCATCGCGCAGATTTCGCGGCCGCCCGTGAAGGGAGCCCCGGGAGAATTCCATTCAGGAGAGGCCGAGACCAGCACGACGCTGCGAGGAGGGAAAACCAGGCGCAGTCTCACGAGCGACGAGCGTGCCCATATCCGTGCCCTCGCGGCCCGAATGCCTCACCACGATCCCGTGAGCACGCGACCTGATAGGCACAGCAGAATCGTGCCATGACGACTTCGGCGTTGGTTTATGACGCCGCGTGGATCGTTCAACCTTGAACGATCGGCACCTTCCGACCGCAAGATCGTTCCATAGTGGCCGATCCTGTGCCACTGGTGGCGTTCAACCTTGAACGCCCGCGGCGGGCTGGCAGCCGCGTCGACACAACACAAACCTGACGCGCGCGGCCTCATAGGCAAGCGCCGCACAGGGCATCCGCGCAACGGCCGAGCGTGCCCGCATCCACTACATCGTCGCAGCGCAGGGGTCCTGGCCGCGAGGGGTCGTGGGTCTGGCGGCCGCCTGCCTCGACGAGGCAGCATGGGCCACTATGGCCGGACCTAGGACAGACGAACATCAATCAAGTACATGGGGTTCTCCGCCGGCCAAAACACCCCAAACCATAAGATCACCGAGGGTGCCCTCTCGCAAGATGCACAAGAACATCCGAAAAGCACGAGGACCTCGGGCCGACCGTTTCCTGAGCAAGCTCCGTCCTCGGAGATATCCGGGAGCATGTCGCCCCCGCCTCTCGTGGGGGTTTCGCGACGTGAGCTGTGTCGGGCCCGATTCCGGGGGCTGCCAGAGAGTGTCCCTGGCCCAAGGTGTCCCCGGACTGTCCCTGGCCCGAGGAGGCCCCTGTGCTCCAGGGACTCCAGGTGAGGCGAAAAGCTGGAGGCAGCGGGGGCGAGGGACACTTTCGGCGACCCCCAACTCGTGTGGATTTCGCGACGCAGGCAGTTGTTCTCTGTCGGTCCTGGGGCCCGATACGAGGCCCCCCGCACGGCGTCCAGCCTTGGAAAGCACGCACTGGCGCCGCCGCCGCCGCGTCGTGGCGGCGCGAACCTGCTCACCATCGTCGCTCACGGAACTCGTCCCAGACAAGGCTGGCAACGTGCGAGGCAGGAACGTGTGCATCTCCTCCGCCGAAGATGCACGCGCACCCACAGGGTGGGCCGACCATAGTTGGGCCCCAGGGAGCCCGCATACAGCAGGTTCGTGTCGTGTCGACCCCCGCGTTGGTTCCTGACACCGCGGGGATCGTTCAACCTATCGTTCAATATCGACCGATTCTGGGTCGCTGGCGGCGTTCAACATTGAACGCCAGCGACGGGGTCGCCACTGGTCGACGCGGCGCGAACCTACCGTACGTCCACCTCTCGACCGCCTCCCGAGGCCCAGGAAGACCGGCCCCCCCAGGCGCGGGCCCAAACTTCTCGACGTCGACGTCGGCGCCGTTTTCGCCGCGGCGACGGCGCGCAGAGGGGTAGTAGGGATGAGGGGGGGAGGCCTCTTAGAAGAAGGCTGCTTCTAAGAAGCCTTCCCCCCTACGCCTGACCCCCCTCTGCGCGTGGCCGACAGATCTAGAGGCATCCCGAATGGAGTCCGAGTAGTCAGAGGATCCAGCCGCATCGCCGACGCATCGGCGACGTCCGCGATACCTCGGCCACGTCGGCGTGGAAAAAAGCAGGCTCCACATCGAGCCGCATCTAGAGGCCTCCTAGATGGGGTCGGAGTAGATGGGGTCAGAGGATCTCGCCGCATCGCCGATACATCGACGATGCATCGGTGATGCATCGGCGATGCATCGGCGATGCACTGGAGACGTCGGCGATGCATCGGCGACGTCGGCGTGGATATATAAAATTAGGCCCCAAATCGAGCCGCATCGCCGATGCATCGGCGATGCGGCGCGATCCTCCGACCCCATCTACTCCGACCCCATCTAGGAGGCCTAGAGCATCGCCGCTGCATCGCCGATGCAGCGCCCCAGGGGTGTAGTGTCGTACGCCGAGCACACGGCCAGGACCCTCGGCCACTCCCCAGGGCTTTCGAGTAGCACAACATTTGTGAGGCGGATTCGGGCGGCCTGGACACGTGCAGCCACAGCTCCCCGGCCTCGCACCGCGCGGCACCCGGGGGCCGGGGGAGACCCGCAGTGGGCACCGCAGTGGCGCCGCGGCCGCCGAAGGGGCGAGCGCGGCGGCGAGGCCGAGCTCGCGCCAGAAGCGCTCGCGCCGGGACCCCGCTCTGCCGCACGGGCTCCGTCCGGGAGAGCTCGAGGAGGAGGATCGAGGAGGAGGATCGAGGAGGAGGATCACGGAAGGGAGGATCCAGGAGCGAGGAGGAGCGAAGAGAGGATCGAGGAGGATCGGTGGGGAGGATCGAGGAGGGAAGGATCGAGGAGCGGGAAGAGCGAGGAGGAGCGAGGAGGAGGGCCGAGAAGGAGTCGGGGAACAACAAGTGGAAAAAGCACAGACTCTCGGAAGTCATTGCGGATTTCTCGGATCGGCGCTGGAGCCCCCTGGCGGCGCCTGCGGCGCCGCCCCTGGCGCGCTCCGCGCGCCAGGGAAGTGGTCCAGCGCAGATCCGAAAAATCCGCGCGGACCTCCGACAAAAAAGAGTTGGTGCCACTTCTCGTTCCTCGATAGATTTAGCTGAGGACCTCCAGAGAGGAAGGCGGCATGCTGGGCTGGGCCAGCTTCGCGTCCATGGCTGCCGGTCGGGCATCCTCGCAGCTCCTTGCCGGAGCTCGCAGCGTGTCCCGTGGAAGCGCGTTCCTGGCCGTTCCTCCTAGCACGTGGGCCGCAAGCGCTCGCGCAGCTCCCAGAGAGTGTCTTTTCGGCTCGCGTGCAGCTCCTGCTGGGCAGCTCCTGGGCGCCCCAGGAGGGGGATACAGGGGGAACTTGGGACGTCGCAGCGCGGCAGAGGCAGTCCGCACGCGCGCTCGGGCGGGCCGGGTGGCGTCGGGCGCCAATTGTCCGGCGACAAGAGCGGGAGAAAAGGGGGGAAGGGGCGGCCGCGGGGCGGGGGAAGGTCCTGGGCAGCTTGAAGTCGTTTGGGATCGATCGGTTGGCGATTGTGGACCCTCTTGGACCATTTCGGGGGCCTCTTGGGGTACTCTTGGCCTGTCTTGGGACTTTCTGGGGGTCCAAGGCCATTGGGGGGATGCGTATATGACCCTTCCCCCCGTCTCCCCTGCCACCTCCCGGGACCCCCCCTGTACCCCCCCCTCCCCCCGACGGGGGAGAGCGCTCACGTGAGGACGGGGGTGCACCGACGTCTTGGAACCGACGCCCCGGTGCCCCAGCGGGCGTTGGATATGGATATGTTTTTGCCCCTGGGGCCCCGAATCTGTCCATATCCACCGCAAATCGAAGTCCCCGAAAAGTTGATCCTCTGGGCGGTGGTCGCGCACAACTGCGCGAGGGCGGGGAGCTTCTGGGCTTCCCTCGCCGCGACGAAGAGCTCGGGGCGGTCGGCTCCTGGCTGCACATCCGGCGCAGGCCTCCAGAGGCTCGCCGCGGGCACCGGGGCCCGTCGGCAGCGCAGGGAGGCCCGGGACGGAGCGCTGGTCCCGCAGAGAGGGGGCCAGGACTCCGGGGGCCCACGCCGCGGGCCAGACTGTGGCCCTGGAGGTCTTGGGAGGGGGCTGTGGGGCCAGAGATGGAGGGGAAAAGGAAGGAAGGGATAAAGATGAACGGGGGGGGCATGGAGGTGCAGGCAGGCAAAGGTGGGGACGGCGAGATGAAAAGGCGAGGGCGAAGGGGAGCGGCAGGCGAGGGGTGGAGGACAGCGGAGGGGGATGCGCGGAGGCACACGCACGACTGCATCAATACCTCCGCCTCCTCTTCCTCCTACTCTTCCTCCTTTTCCTCCTTCTCCTTTTCCTCCTCCTCTTGTTTTGGCCATGCCCAGCCAGGCAGTGGCAGCACGGCGGCGGCAGGGCAGGAGCCTGCGCCCGCCGACAGCGCGGCAGCGAGAGGCGCTGCTGGCACCGTCGACAGCGGCATCGGCGGTGGGCTCACCGACGAGGCCCTGGCGGCCAGGGCGCGGGAGCTCAACGCCGCCAAGGTCGCGGCGGCCGAGGCGGCGAAGCAAGTGGCGGCGGCAGCGGGCGGGGCGCCCGCTGGCGTGTTGTGACGCCAGATGGCGGCGGATGCTGGCCTTGGGGCTAGCACCTCCGCTTCGGCGAGCCCGCTTGCAGCCGCAGGCGGCAGCGCGCCTTGTACCTCCTCGTCCACGGCCACTTCAATGTCGTCAGGGTCGGGTACTGCTGGTCAATCCACAGTTGCGGGTACGTCGTGTACTTCGCAAGAGTGTGGCACAGTGCTAATCGATCCAGATCATCCAGTCGATGGCAGTAGCACAGGTGAATGCCGCACGATTTGCTTGTCCAAGTGTACCTGTTTTGGAAAGGAGGTTTGGGGAGCATATCCAGTCGCTGGTGTCTAATCAGTCAACTATTTCAGTCGATTTTGTTGGTTTGGTAGAAACACACATCGGATACTCGTTGAATAAGAAAATTGGCAACCACAGTCCGCTCGCTCGAGCTCAAGCATGTTATTACCCTGGCACGGAGCACGGGGCACGGCAACACAGAGGCCAAACGTGACCATGCCCATGAAGGAGGAGAAGCCGTTCTTTGTCGCCAACACTGTCAATTCCATCGGTTTCCAATGGCAGCCGAAGATTAGCCAGATCTTTGCGCTGATGGCCATAGCAGTTACGATGCATTTATCCCAGTGATCGTTCATGTCCAGTCCGACTCAGTGGCGGTTTTGGCACCCGGACATCCTCCCATGGGCATGCGGGGCGCCAACCTGCAGCGCCCCCATCGGCTCGGAGGATTCCTTCGAGCGCTACAACCACCCTGGCAGTGCATCGGGGACTTCAATATGACCCCCGAAGCGACTCAGCGGTCACAGTTCTTTCAACGAGTACATGGGCGAATTCGAAGGTCCGAAGCGGAGGTCGCCTGCGCCGCGGCCAAGGGATAGCCGCGCATCTGCGTCCTCACCGCGGGGCCTGGAGCTGATAGTTTCGCGGTGGATCTTCGAGCGGGCCACGGCGCCCCGCGGGGGCCGCGCTGCGGGCTGCGCTTGAAGCTGCGACGCAGCTGCCAGCAATTGCTCGCGCGTTCTCTCGCCATTGCAGGCAAGCTCCCCAGGCGAGTCGGCCAGTCACCTTGCCCGCGCCGGACCCCAGGCGGGGCGATCGGTCAAGGCCTCGATCGCCAAGGAAAAAATTGTCGACGAAGCGCGAGCCCTCTTCGGCGGCATCTTTCAGGACCCCGAATATGAAAATGTTGTTTTTGTTGTGTTGTTGTTTTTTTTTCCCCCGCGCCCGTTGCGCCTGAAGCCTTCGCCCGTTGTGGGCCAGGATCAAAGGGGCCCGCGGGCCGAGGAAACCTGTTCTACGCCGGCGTCCTCGGGGCGCGCGGGGCTCACGGAAGCCTCTGGACGTCGCGGTTGCCAATAGTTCCTCGGTCGCACCGCCAGGTCCTATTGCGGCGTCAGCGTCTGCAGTCAAACCAGGCCAGCCCAACGGGAGTGACGAATCTGTGCCGGAGCCCTTTTCAGAGCCCCCCAGCGGCAACTGCCCCCCAGTAGAAGTTAGCGCCCAGTCTGGTGTCGTTCCTGAAAACGGGGGGCTCATTGTTGCCGAGTCGTGAACTAGGAACCCGGATTGTCGCACCCCGTCGGACCCTTGGATTTGGGGTCAAAATCGCATTGATTTCAATTTCAGATCGCCCCAAAGCAATGAAGCTCACGCGCGTTGGCCTGCTATCCACGATTCGCTGGCAATGCGAGTTGCAGGGCATCGCGCGCTCCACGCCTCGGCTGCGCACGCAGGGTGGGCCTCGACACTCGAGTCCGCCATGTCCAGTCACCATGGGCAACCTCCGGGCGCAGTCTCGCGCGCGGCAGCCCCTTGCATCCGGGGGCGGCGCGCTCGGCGGGCGGCCGCATTCCACGAGGCACCCCTGCAGAACAAAGTTGCCAAATCGCGGTCGGAAGTTGTTCGGGCATTGGCCGAGGCGCCACGGCGTCGGCCACGTGGGGGTGGTGCGAGGCAGCGTATATATATATATATATATAGATTCGAGAACTCGGCGCTCGGTCGGGTTCTGGTTTCCAGAGGGCGCACGCAGTGTCTTACTTCATAATGACTGTGGAGATTGAGAGCACTGGGTGGCTTTTCAAGCTACGATGTTCACTTCTCAGGCAAGAGCGTCGACATTTCCCCCCGCGCGGCGCGGCGTGCTCCGCATCGCGCTGCGGCGAAGGAAGACGCCTCACCCCCAGTGGTAAAGACAGCGCCAAGGACAGCGCGCCCGCGAAAATGTTGCCCAAGCTGTTTCCGTCGCGGAGCATAGCTTGCATAGATCGCCGGGGCCCCATTAATCTCCTCCTCCCCGTCGAGAATCTGGCGATAGATGCAGAAGACAGGCCGATAGAGACCAGCAACGCGATGGCAGCATCCGCGCCCATCAAAATGGGCCTGCAAACGTGGGCAACATCGAAGAGAGAGGCAGACTCCATCCACATCACCACGCGACACAGAGCGAAGAGCGCGCAGAATCCAATGGCGCTTCTCCCGACGGGCGACAGCAGGCCTCATGCGAAGCGCCTTTCTCGCAACTTTGCCAGCGTCAGAGACAGTGGATATTTCGCCGTCTCAAGCTCAGCCCACGCATTTCACTCCTCAGGGATATCTCCGATCATCTCTTTCGACGCCTGTCCGAACTCAGGCGCCCCAGCGATCCAGGCGTGCGCGCGCGTGCGCGCGCGCGTGCGCGGCGGGCGGGGCGCGCGCGGGCGTGTGCGTGCGTGCGTGCGTGTGTGTGTGTGTGTGTGTGTGTGTGTGTGTGTGTGTGTGTGTGCGCGTGTGTGGGTGGGGGGCAGGGGCGCAGGGCGTCGGGGGAGTGCCAAGACACAGTAGCCCGAACTGGCATATGGTCGCTACACATGGATGACGTTAGGGATCCAATCGCAGAGGTCGAGTTAGTTACATCGCGGACCAGGGCAGCAGGTAGCGCGGCGTAGATGCGGTCTAACCGCGGCGCATTCGCAACGCCCCCCCCCCCCTCCCGGTTCCCTGGCTCTGGAAAAGTTGGATCACATGCGGGGGCAGGCGGTGGGAGCTGCGAGAGTGGCTAGCGTCGCCTGCCGACATTCCGCCCCCGCCCCCAGCGAGCCCCCCCTCCTCCTCTAAGACCGAGTTCCAATCTCCCATGCAAATCACACGCGCTGCAAATTCAGCGCAGCTCTCCCGGCGGCGGAGGCGATCGCGCTGAAGCGCAAAGAGAACGCCACTAGAGAGCGAGAGAGTCGGATGTATTCGGCAGGTGAAGATTGTAGACAATCAGATTCCCACCTTCCCCGATAAGCATACTCTCAAGCCCCCCCCCCCCCCCAGCGATCAGGGCCGCGCGCGCGCGACGCGAGAGAAGAGCGAGGCAACGGGCGGACCCATCGCAGAGACGACGCCCCCCATCGCGCGTAGAATCCGCGAAGAGGGAAGGCCCGAAGATAAGTCCAAGCAGCTAGTGCTGCAATTCTGCGATACCTCCTTCGTGTCCATGTGTTTCGTGCACGGTGATTGCGTCGTGCTGGTTGCATTGGGGCGCGCACTTATGATAACGTTCTCGAGCTCGCCACGAGCTCGTCTTCACCGAGGCGAAGAGCGCGCCTGCGTTCCAGGCGCAGAAGGAGAGGGAGGCGGGGGGAGGCAGAAGGAACAGGGAGGGGGGGGGGGGGGACCCGAGATGGAAAACAACCTTCCTCAGCGCGAGAAAGGGGCGGCGGAGCGCGACTGCCCCGGCCTGCCCAGTCGCCGCGATGCGATCCTGAATGCCGAATTCAAGAAAAGCGCATTTGTCAACGCGCATCTCCATGCTCTGCTCACTCGACATTGCGACCTTTGCAGCGGAAACGGGTTCGCGCGCGCGCGCGACGCACCAGCAAAACCGAGCCCCCTAGTCCAGCGCTCCACACCTCGATCCCTCTGGGGGCAAGGGCCTCGCCAAGGCGGGCCCTGATCCTCCCGGGCGAAAGAAAAAGCTGGGAGGTCTCTCCTGAGGCGCAACGCGAGTGGGTCAGGGGCGGCCCGTGCGCCACCAGCTTTCATGACATTGTCTAAGAAGGTGCCGGCCGCGAGAGCTCTCGAACGGCAGCGCGACCTTTTTGGAGAGGTCGAATCCACGCGCAAGAAACCGAGACTGGTCGGCGGCGGGGGCGAAAGCTTTGATACAGGCCAAGCCGATATCGCGGCGGTCGCGCGCCAGGAGCGGGCGAGGGAAACCTACAGAACTAACTTACAGGTGTCATTCTGGCTCTCGTCCACAGCGTCGCGGCGCGAGCCTTTGCTTCTGGCGGGGGGGCCAGCGCTCGAAGCGGGAGTGGGCGGCGTAGCTGGAGACAACATCTCACATATCTGGGCCCCTGAGATCTTCTGACGGTCGGCGAGGACTTTCAGCTGGCGTTCCACGTCATCACGCCCGGTGGAAAAATCTGGGACGTCCGCCGACAACGCCGAGGCGGGATTCTGGATGAGGAATTGCCGCTGGTCGATCTTCACATCTTGGGTACGGTGGGCGTGAGCGAATTGGTTCTGCAGCTCGTCATGCTTCCACTTCACGACTTGACCAAGCAGCGCGACTTGGTCGGATAATTAACTGAGCACACCATGACATTCTGGAACTAACAGATGTCCTCAGATCGACCATGTCTTGTGTGTTCTGCATCATCATCTGGTGCATCGATGATAGTGCCTGAGACATCGCGAAGTTGGCGAGCCACCGGGGCCTCATCGGGATGGTCAGCAGGACTTCGGCTCACAAAACGTCTGGCGGCAGAGGAGGACGATGGCGAGGAAAAGCGGGCGGGGGGCCTTCGGTCAGCACGGCGAGATTTCCCCATCGCGGCGGGGGGCAGAAAGAAAAACTGAGAACGAGAGCAGCCGAAACGTTGAACGCGTAACGTTGTGGCGACAGGCGGGCCCTTGGCGACCCCTGAAGTCGCGCACGTGTGAACTGGGCGCTCGGGCCCTTCCCCTCGGCTGCGTCCAATCTTGAAGCACCAAGGGCGCGTTTCAAATTTAAGCCCAAACGGCTACGGAGGGAGCGTGACAATTTGTGGCGTCTCCGTTGGGAACTTCCCACCTCCTCCTGGATCTGGAAAGGAGGTTTGGGAGCGGTCATAGAGCCCAGGATGGCTCCAAGATGACGCAATATAGCTCTGGATGGTTCTAGATCGCCTCCAACGTGTCTCCAGCCTCAACGCGGCCCCGGAATTTCCCAACGATGCCCCCTGAGAGCCCAAGACCCTTCAAACACCAAAGGAAGCAACGTGTTGGCCTTCGTCTCATTTTGCTTCCGATGGGTGTCTGAGGCGTCCGAGGCTTCACGATGGCTTCGCGATGGCTCGGCAACGCCTCCCTGATCAGGCATCATTTCTGAATTCGTCGTCCCCCGACTCTTCCATTTTTTCTCCTTGTCGATAAGTTCCCCCTGCCGAACCCGGGGCCAGTTTTTAAGGCAGGACGGGCACTTCGCCTGAGAATTCCTCACCATAGTCTGAAGCTTTAAACATGCAAGCCGCTTCACAGATGGAAGGCGGGTCCTCTTCAAAATGTGGTTCCCTCCTCAGCGCCGCGCACATTCTTGCTAAAAGTGCAAGAGCTTCATGGATTGAGGGCGGGTGGTTTTCAAAATGTGACTCTCGCCTTTACGCCGCGCGCATTCGTTTTCAAACTTTGCAAGGGGGTTCACGGATTGAGGGCGGGTGGTTTTCAAACTGTAGCTCTCGCCTGCGCGCCGCGCACATTCATTTTCATAATTAGAAGGGGCTTCGCGGATTGAGGGCGGGCCGCTTTCGGAATGTGGCTCTCGCCTTAGCGCCCAGCACACTCTTTCTCAACATTTGCAAAAGCTTCACGGATTGACGGCGGGTGGTCTATGTAGCTCTCGCCTTAGCGCCTCGCACATTCGTTTTCGAGAGTAGCAGAAACTTCGCGGATTGAGGGTGAGCCGTTTTCGAAATGTTGCTCTCGCCTTAGCTCCGCGCGAACCATTTCCAAACAGTTCCAAGAGCTTCATGGATTGAGGGCGGGTGGTTTCCAAAATGTGGTTATCGCCTTACTGTCGCGCACATTCGTTCTCAAAATTTGCAAGAGTTCCACGGGCTCCCATGATCGACGTACCAGAATTGGTGTTTTGGACGGATTCCAGATTTTGCGGGCGTAACACTTATGCTGATTCGCGGTGGTGAAGTCCCACAAATTGCTTTCTGGCACGATTCCGGATCGCCAAGACGCAACAGTCAGATTGATACGTGGCGTTGAAATCACTGGAACAATGTTTTGGCACGCTCCAGGATATTCGAACGCGCGTCTTCCAACGAGGCAGTTCTCTCAATGGAAGTGAGCCGCTGTAGGGGCCCATGAAGAGGGAACTTGGAGGGAGGGTTCATTTCAACATCGTTGATGGCCCTTGGGTTTACACTGGTGTTCCTCCTCCTCCTCCTCCTCCTCCTCTTTCTCTTCCTCCTGGCTGGGATACTTTTTAGTCAGCGGCCGCACGCGAGCGCGCCAGCGGCGAGTCCAGTCAAAGCGGGGCACGCAGCGACAAATTCACCTAAAGCAGCGGGGCGCAGCCTCACCCAAAGCGGCTAGGCGGAGCCTCACGCAGCACCTCAGCGGCGATAAATCTGGCTGGGATACGCTATGCGTCAACGTTCGTGAAAAGCTTTTTCGCATGAGTCGCCGCCGTCGTCGCTGCCACCGTCACCGCTCCGCCCGTCCCTGCCCGTGGGCCACATCATTGGTGGGCTTGTGCCCCACGTGCCTATTCCCAACATGAGGTTGAACCTTGCTTCTGGCACCGAGGCCCTCTGCCCCAGTCCTGGGTCGCCGTCGGGGTCAATCGGCGGAGCGAGGGCGTCGAGGCGTTCGAAGATCATTGCTTCGGTCGGGTCTCCGAGCTGGCCCCCGGTTGCCTCTGCGGGAACTCCGGCGGGGGCGGAGATACAAGTGACCCTCGACTCCGTAGGGTAGGATGTGGCATTGTTCAATATTCAGACATGTCTGAGAATATGCAGCTATCTGCGTCAAAGTGGGAGGCCTCCCTGGACCCCAACAGACCGTGGCACGTGGAGAGCTTTACAGCTTTCTGTAATCACTAGGAGGCTCTGATGGGGTGGTGATGTATACTACCGACAACTCCAGCGTTTGCTCAGGGTGGTCTTGTGGCAAAGCCTTCGCCCCTGAAAGGGAGAATGAGAATTTGTGGCATCAAATAGGTCAGGTTTTAAAGCGGAAGCCGGATTTGCAATGCACAGTTCTGTTTGTATATTCCCATCAGAAAGCTCGTAACGTCCTCCAGTAGAGCGCCTCTTTATTTGACTGTCGGCAACGCTGCTCCCCAGAAGCTGGCAGAAACCGCTGCCAAAGCGGTACGGATTCCAGCAGCTGTCAAGTCTAATGTGAATGAGAAGATGGCTTTCGCCGTCCGCATGCGAATTCTGCTCCCCGCCCTCGAAACTTTAAAAGCCGAGCAGGCTCTGGCGGCCGAGGAGCCCCGAGGAACCCGTGTCAGGAATCCTGGGCCCGGGCCACCCGCGCCTGTAGTGTGCAAAGAATGTTCGACCCTACATTCGCTGTCTGCAAAATGGTCTCCCGTGTTTGAAATGTGGGAGTTCCACGACCAAAGCTAGGCGGAAGGTTTGGTTAGATACCCCGCGCTTCGACTTGAGGGCTATTGATGGCGTTATTTTCAGGCCGACCCCCGTTGCAGTGTGGTTCTGTGGCACTTGTGGAAGCTTTGCGACAAACGGTGCGACGGTAGACCATCTGGCAGTCGCAAAGTTCATTTGTCGAAAATGTATTGATCGGGGGATCTGGCCTAAAGCTTACAGCAAAGTTCAGCAGGCCAGAAGAGCAGCACGATCAACTTAAATCCTATCTGAAACCGACACAGTCGCAATATCCATAACTCATCTCATCATCCACGTCCTTCCCCCCTCCAACTTATGGTGGTGGTGGTGGTGGTTGTGGTGGAAAACAAGCCCATCACTCATCTTCAAACGTCCCAGCCATCGAGTCACGTCACGTCCTAAGTCGAGCAACGCCGTCATCGATTCGAAAGAAAGTCCCTTCCCTTTGATCCCTTCCCCGCCGGTTGGGTGGGGGGGCGGGGGGGGGATGGGGTGGGCGGGCGGGGGAGAGGGGGGGCAAGGAGGGGTGAGGGCGGGGGGTCCTGGGGCTTGTGACCCCCCACCGTGAGGAAGAACCCCTCCCTGGGAAAAGCTTTCCCCTTCGACTCCTTGCCTGCCAGACGCCTCGGGCTCCTCCCTCAGGGTCGGCGGCAACGGCCGCCATCCCTTCACAGTATTGATGCGATGCAAGCAAACAGGAGTTCTGCACGCGCTGGATCAGGGCGCTACGCTACAGGTATCCGACACCGCGTCTGCAACGCAATGGGCGTACGTCTTGTGTTGTGCAGTCAACCAACTGGCAAGAACCGTCGCTCATTCATGACTGAGGCCCCCTACGAAACCGTCACCCAGCGCAGGGTCGCTTGCTGAGGACAGAATATCGCCGACCTTTTCTTCCTTATGGGCATGGCGCTGGAGAACAGCTCATTCCACTCGTGCACGGAGGCCGGACGACCCTGCCCTCAAGGGCGCTCCATACGGTCCCATGACATGCACTGTGTCAGCGTTTTCTTACTCTGCGTATCGACACTGGGCAGAAGGGGGGGAAGGGGGGGTCTGACTCCGGACCTCTGCTTACTGCCAGTGTTTGCAGCAGTGCGGTTTCTGGGGGAGACTCCTCCCGCTCGAAAAAGGCGCCACAAAACAGCCAAGATCTACTCCATGGGGGAGGGGAGGGGGGGAGGTGGGGCCCGCGCCGATCGGAAAAACAATGAACAAAAAAGATCACCTCATCGAGCAAGCTTCAAGACGGCCCGGCATGGCACAGCACAGCTGTACGCACCCATGATCCTCCGCCGTCGGCCGCAAGATGTCCCACCTCGGCCAGAGAATCTCCCCTGACGACACAACGAAACCCTAATACAATTCGTGGACCCTTGTCGGGGGGGGCCAAACATGGATTAGCGATCCATGGATCTGGCGCGCGGTCGCCAAATCCATAGATCAGGGGAGGTGCCCCCACCAAAATGGCCGGTGCCGCCTCGCTCGGCGGCGGAAATCCGCGATTTCCCATGGAAACGGGACCCGTCGCTAATCCACTCCCCCTTGATCCATGTTTGCGATCGCATGATTGTCAGCATGCTGACAAGCCCCTGGCAGCCCGAAGAGGTCCCCAAGGACCCCTCCATCGGGCCACGCGAGGCCATCAAAGGTAATGAGAAAACAAGTGTCGTCGGTAAGCCGAAGTTGCCGATGGGCTCAAGATGGCTTCTGGATGGCCTGAAGGCATCCTTTGGACTGCCCTGACGGGCGCCCCATGTACTCCACGTCGCCGCCCGCCGAAGACCCACAAATACAGGATGGCCCTTAAGACGACCCGACATAAGCACAAGATGGCCCCAGATTTGGCCCAAAACGGCCCCAAGACCTTCTCCAGGCGGCCTTGGGGCCCCCAAGATGGCCCCAGGACCCCCTCCCCCAGGGCCCCATGGCCCAGGATACCTCAAATACATTCCAGAGTCAGCTGAAAGACACTCAACATGCCCACGAAGGCTCCCAAGAAGTATCGCAAGATCCATGCCATGCCACGGCCGTTTCATCTGGTAGCGCTGCTGAAGTGCTCGGTTTCGTAGAAAAGACCCCGGCGACCAAGATGAGGCACGTGACAGTCTGTTTTGAACACAACTATATGCCCAAGCCGCACCCTATTCACGCGACACTCGCCCATCCGGCATTAAGCGGCGTACTGAAAGGAGAAAAACCTTCTTCCTTCTCCTGCTATTCCTCCTTATCCTCGCCCTCGTTCGCCGCCTGCCCGTCAGCTGGCTTGCAAGCAACAGCGAACGTTCCCGCTGGCTGTGCCAGGAGAACAGAAGTATTGATCCTGCCTGCGTTCGCACATGTGCACCCGTACTTGTGCACCGCTTTCAGCGCGTTCTCTAAGCAGAGGTGGCCAAGCCATGCAAAGCCACATCGATGGGGAAAGCCAGGCACCCTGGCTACATTCCAATTGCGCGGTGGCGGATGTGCGCGGGAGCGCAACTTGATTAAAAACGCGCAGAAAAAAACTGAAATACTGAGACACGAAAGCAAATTCAAAAGGCTATCCCGAGCACTACCAGCAACCCGCATTGAGGGCGCGGTTCTCGCTTGATGTAATCAAGTGGAGGGGCAAAAACATATGCACTCGTACAACTCAACTCCGATCCCCCACTACTCTTGAAGGGGGGAGGAGTGCGAGAGAGACGGAATAATAACATGTTGTTGCCCTCCGCTTACGTCTCACATCAAAAAAGCTGGGCATTCCGAACTACTGCGGGGACGGCGCAAGTCGGGACAGGGAGACGAAGGGAGGGGAGAGCGAGGACGACGGAGAGAGGGAAGGAGGATAGCAGATGGCAGAGGGGCGAAGGGGAAGGAGGAAAGGATAGAACCAAGAACGGAAAGGCCCAAACACATGCGACGTCATCAATGCTTGGTCACATGAGGAGAAGCGAAACACGGCAGAAACATACACTTTCGGAGATCCGTCCAGATTTCTGGGATCGGAGCTGACCCTTAGAGAAAAAAAAACTATGCACATGCACCGATTCTGGCCAGGCCCATCCTGAGCCCAGGATCGGTGCATACGCCCTCCTACCTTGGCCAGGAAGGCATATGCACCGATCCTGGGTCAAGGGTGGGCCTTGCCAGGATCGGTGCATGTGCATAGTTCTCTTCGCCCGAGGAGCTGACCCTGACCCCCCTCCCCGGCGCGCGGAGCACGCCAGGGGGGGCCCAGCGCCGATCCAAGAAGTCCGCTCGGACCTCCGACAGTTTCTGCTCACGCCACTCTTTGCTCCCCGACTCCTCCTCGATCCTCCTCCTCGCTCTTCCTCGCTCCTCGATCCTCCCCCCTTCGATACTATCCTCCCCCCGTCGATCCGAGCGGAGCTCCAAAAGTTAAGCTTCCGCCGATGTGGGCCCCTTCGAACATGGGCACCAGGGGGCCGGCTGTGGTTCCCCTGCCTGCGTTTCTCAGGGCCCCAAAGGCCCCCTAGACGGGCCGCCCGAGGCCCAAAGCGTAAAAGTCTTCGGGGCCCAAAAACCGTGTGGCGGCGGACCGCGTGGTGACCTCGGAGTCTCCAACGACCGTGCGGTCCGTCACCGCACGGTGTTTGGGACCTCGGAGGCCCCAGTCGCCCGAGACGTCCTCGGAGAACGACCCGAACCCCAAAACCGTGCGGAGAGCCCGAGTCCCCACTGGCTCACCAGGAGGTGTGGTCACCACATCGTCCGGGGGCTCCCGAGGAACTGAAACGTCTGTCGCGCTGCTGTGCGTGGCGCCAAAGGCCCGGAGGGTGAGCAAGGGGACGGGTCCGCCTCCCGCTTGCGCCGTCCTGTCCGAGGAAGACGGGGAGGGCCGAGCTAAGCCAGGCTTCAAGGCAACGGGGACAGTCAACCATCCTCATCCTCGGTCTCGCATTCCTCCCCCTTCTCATCCACGTTCCATCACATCCAGTCTAAGGCATAAAGCACGCCCAACTGCAATAGTGTCGCCTCTTTGAACTCATGCCAGGCCCTGAACCTTTAAAAACAGCCTGGGACAAGAAACCGGCACCAGTGAAAGGATCGATTCCTTGGGGCTCCTCGTGTGTTACCTCCTCCTCATCATCCCCCTCATGCTCATCCTCATGATCATCCTGATCCTCATCCTTCTCATCCTCCTCCTCCTCATCATCATCATCATCATCATCAGCATCATCATCATCAGCATCAGCATCATCATCATCAGCAGCAGCATCATTATCATCATCAATCATCATCAACACCAGCACCATCATTATCATGAGCATCAGCATCAGTATCATCATCAGCAGCATCATGAGCATCAGCATCACTCTCATCATCGTCATCGTCAACATCAGCATCATCGGCAGCAGCAGCATCACCATCATCAGCATCACCATCCTCATCACGATCATCAGCACCCTCATCATCATCATCATCAGCATCATCATCAGCATCATCATCATGATAATCAGCACCACCATCATATCATCATATTCAGCACCATCATCATGACAACATCATCACCAACATCAGCATCAGCATCAGCATCAGCATCAGCATCAGCATGATCATCATCGGCAGCATCATCACCATCATGACCAACATCACCATCATCATCATCATGATCGTCATCATCGTCATCATCATCATCAGCATCAGCATCAGCATCATCATCATCATCATCATCAGCATCATCGTCATCACCAGCATCATCATCGACGTCATCATCAGCATCATCATCGTGTTTTACCTCCTACTCCTCAGTCTCATGCTCATCATCGTGCCCATCCTGATCCTTCTCCTCCTCCTCATCATCAGCAGCATCATCAGCATCAGCATCACATCGTCATCGTCATCATCCCCATCAGCAGCATCATCAGCATCACCATCAGTCTCATCGTCGTCATCGTCATCACCATCATCATCATCATCACCAGCATCATCATCACCATCATCAACATCAGCATCCTCATCATGATCACCAGCGTCCTCCTCCTCATCATCATCAGCAGTAGCATCGTCAGCACCATCATCGGCACCATCGGCACCATCATCACCATCATCATCAGCATCATCAGCATCATCATGATCACCATCATCATGATGAGCATCATCACCACCAACATCAGCATCAGCAGCAGCATCATCACCATCATCAGCATCATCAACACCATCATCACCATCCGCATCATCAACAGCATCATCATCACCACCCTCATTATCCCTCCTACTACTCCTCATCCTCCTTGTCATCCTCATAATGCTCCTCATCCTCATCCTCGTCCTTCCCCCCATTCTCCTCCTCCTCCTCCTCCTCCTCCTCCTCCTCCTCCTCCTACCTCCTACTCCTCCTGTTCCTCTTCCCTCCTTCTCCTCCTGCTGGTCCTCCTCCTTCTCCTCCTCCTCCTCCCATATCGATTGCCCGGCCATGATTACAGTGTCAATACACCCTTCGCGACGAGGGCCATCTGAGGAGGCGCCGAAACAGGCAGAAAACGTCAAAGTCCTCCTCCTCCTCCTCCTCCTCCTCCTCCTCCTCCTCCTCCTCCTCATATTCATCCTCCTCCTCCTCCTCATCATCGTCCTACTCCTTCTCGTCGTCGTCGTCCTCCTCCTCCTCCTCATTCTCTCCCTCCTCCTCCTCATCCTCTCCATCCTCCTCCATCCTCCTCCTCCTCCTCCTCCTCCTCCTCCTCCTCCCATACGGACTGCCTGGCCACGATTACGAAACCAGTCCACCCGTGGCG